CCGCCCTGTGGGTTTTTATTTTAAGTTCACAGAGCCCTGGGCAGAAACTTTATTGGGAAAAAAAAAAAAAAAAAAAAGGTCCTATAATGATTTGAAGTCAGAATGAATGTTGATGGGCTTGTTACTTTGGGGTGCTTTTCAAAGTGGAAGAGGAGGAAGGCAAGATGCTCCTGTCCTAGGAATTGGTAATCCGTCCTCCGCATGGCTTACTCTTACTCTTATGTAATCCAGCCACTGTTGAGGAATGGGTGTTTGGGATGTACCAACCCGCAGCAGATCAGAGGCAGGAGAGACTCCTTAGACCTTCTAGCCGTGGGACCTCGACTTAGTAGCCAAGAAGGGAAGGGAGATAAGGAGAATTAGGGCTACATCTGCTGTGGACAGGCTGACTACTGAAGCTGAGGGCACTGCATATCTCTGTGTCCACTCACCCCTGTACTTATCCCCCATCCCTTCAAAGAGCTCCAGTTTTCCCCCTCCACAACTTATAACCCTGCCATGCTTCAGACCACCCTCCAGCACCATACCTGGCTTGTGTTCATTACTGCATTGCTCTGCCATGACTTGAAAAACCTTTTAAAATATTATTTTCATACCTTTTTCACATTTTCTCCTAGTGAGCAGGTGCAGACCTACAAAATTTCTGTTTTCTAGTAAATTGACTTTGTGACACATGATGCACAGCCCTGTTCTGCAGTAAATCACTTGAATCCTGGGTAAAGCTACCTTTTGAACTAATAACTTTTTGTAAAGTAACTTTTAAGTAGTAATGTGTGGTGCTTCTGCTCCCAGTGTCAGGTTCATCCTGCTCTGTACAAACTGGCTCCCTTGCCACCTACTGACCCAGTGCTGTAAAGGGCTTACAGTGGACCCGCAATTTGGGAGAGCGGGCCCAAGTGTCCTATCGAACAATGGATAAAAATATGGGGGAAGTTCCTCTGCAGTGATTGTGCTGTCTTCCCCCTGCGAATGATTCTATTTTTGAAAAATTGTGATAAAACAAGTGGGAGACTTTTTAAAACAAAAAAAGAAAGAAAAATAACCCTGGAGCATTGGGATATCAAGACATTTGCCATGGCCAACTGTGTTACAGGAGCACCTACGTGTTCCACTAGGTGTCAAGACATGATATCAAAGCCTAGAGTCCTGTAACCTATTTCTGACCTGTGAACTAGTAGCATGGCTTTCATCCTAATTCTCTATTGGATGTGGGGATTATTTCCAGTAATCACCTGAGGCTTCCTACCCTCTGCCACGTCTCATTCAATCTCACTTCATGGTGTGGCATTAGCAGCAGGCATAATAGAGCAAACTTCAGTTGAAGCAGTATTGGTTGTGTATAAACAGGTCCTTCAGGCCCCTGGCTGCTGCGCAAAATTCCTTATTGCACATCAAGCATATTTTTAAGGGGTGCTTGCTCCTGGAAAGGAGGAATATAACTGAAGAGACAGACAGGTAACCCAGTGCAGAGTGTATATAAAGTCAGCTCATTAATGCTCTCAATCAGTACAGATGTGTTATGTTCATTTGCAACAAGTAATGAATTGTTTAAGAAAAAACGTCTCTTTTTTGGTTGTGCTGGAAGTTTCCTACAGCCTTTGAATTCAATGAGTACTTCCTGATAACCATTCTGGACCACCTGTACAGCTGTTTGTTTGGAACATTCCTGTGTAGCAGTGAGCAGCAGAGGGTGAAAGAGGTAAGCCTCGTTCTTTGCCCAGGTGAACACACTGTACTTGTATTCTTTAAAAGGGCTAATGAAAGCTTGCCAGTTCCCAGTGACTTCAGTGGTTTTGGCTTTAAGAGACTTTCTAGCAAAACAGCTGATATTCAGGATTCCCTCTACCTGCAAAAAGTAATGCTGATTGTTCTAACTTAACTTCTGTGCTTCAGAACAGTGCACGTTTCCCTCCCTGTAGTGTGAACAGCTGCCTTCATACAGTTCCTGCTGCTTTCATTGGTCATATTCATATTCTAGGTGGTTGGCAGAGTACGTTTGTGTGACTTTGGTTAGACACATGCTTCTCCTGATCACTTTTTTCCCTGTAGTCCTCTAAGTTGTCACTTGAGACTATTTTCACTGTATAGAAACCAGGAAGCATGTACTGTCATACTGCACACCTGGTTAACACTAAGGACATTACAGGTTTTCAGATGCGCTCTTTTTATTTCACCTTGGATGAGCTGGAGCTGCCAGCCATCAAGGAGGATTTAGCCCAGCCAGTTCTGTCCCCTCATCTGGGCAACATGATCAGGGCTTCATGCAGGAACAAAACCTAAAACAAATGGAGGGATTCTGTGTAGGTTGAAATGAATTAAAACAGTTTGTTAAAGAAGGAAGCACCCTTATAGTACCCACAGGCTGGCTCTAGGCTAGGACTGGGTAATTCACCAGCAGCAGTGGTATTGGCAGAGGCTGTAGGGCTAAGGGCTGTTCATGACTGCGTAGCAGAGAACTGCTGTGTGTAGGGTTTAGCGGTGGTAGAATACCTGGTCAGTGTGCTGCACATGACCAATGGGTGTGCAGAGGTGAAACGTGTCGTTCCAAAGCAGCAAGCATATGCAATCCATTCTCTTTAAGGCCCTAGTGTAAAAAAGCACTTAAACACGTGTATTTCCATTGATTTGGAAGGAGCTACTTGCATTTACTTCACTTAAATCAAAACCTAAATCTAGGGCTCTCTTTTTTTTTCTTTTCTGTGCACACAAATGTACCAGAGCTTTTCCAGGAGCCCTTCCTTTAAAGAGGTGAAGCTAAGCAGAAGTAATGATCATTCACATAAGCAGCCT